TGACTGCTCTCCATCTGAGGGCGTTAGCTGAAAGCATGAAAAGCAGGAAGCCTGCCAAACAATCAGTGGGGCCACTGTAGGATTGAGGTGCTAAAGGAGCACTCAAGGAAGACAAGGCTGGTGTGGAGAAGCTAAATTAATTCTTTGCATCAGTCTTCACTGCAGAGGATGTAAGGAAGATTCCACAGCTGAGCCATTATTGTTAGGTGACACATCTGAGGAACCATCTCAGATTGAGGTGTCAGAGGTTTTGGAACAAGTTGATAAATTAAACAGTAATAAATCATCAGGACTAGATGGTATTCACCCAAGTATTGCAGAACTAACAACTGTGGTATGTAACCTTTCGCTTAAATCAGACTTTGTGCCAGATGATTGGCAGATAGGTAATGTGACACTGATTTTTAAAAAAGGCTCCAGAGGCAATCCTGGAAATTGTAGGCCGGTAAGCTAAACTTCAGTATCAGGCACACTGGCTGAAACAATAGCAAAGAACAGAATTATTACACTTAGGCCTGGTCTACACTAACCCCCCCCACTTCGGACTAAGGTACGCAAATTCAGCTACGTTAATAACGTAGCTGAATTCGAAGTACCTTAGTCCGAACTTACCGCGGTCCAGACGCGGCAGGAAGGCTCCCCCGTCGATGCTGCGTACTCCGCTCGCCGAGCTGGAGTACCAGCGTCGATGGCGAGCACTTCCGGGATCGATCCGGCATCGATTTATCGCGTCTTAACCAGACGCGATAAATCGAACTCAGAACATCGATTGCTTACATCCGGACCCGGATGTAAGTGTAGACGTACCCATAGATAACACAATATGTTGGGGAAGCGTCAACGCTGCCTTAGTAAAAGGAAATCATGCCTCACCAGTCTATTAGAATTCTTTGGGTGGTCTACAAGCATGTGTACCAGGGTAATCTAGTTGATCTAGTGTACTTGGACTTTCAGAAAGCCTTTGACCAGGTCCCACACCAAAAGGTCTTAAGCAGTCATGGAAAAAGAGTGGAGGTCCTTTCATGGATCACTAACAGGTTAAAAGATAGGAAACAAAGGGTAGGAATAAATGGTCAGTTTTCAGAAGGGAGAGAGGTAAATAGTGTGGTCCCTCAACGGTCTGTACTGGGACCAGTGCTGTTCATCATATTCATAAATGATCTGGAAAAGGGGGTAATCAGTGAGGTGGAAAAGTTTGCAGATTATACAAAATTATTCAAGATAGTGAAGTCCAAAACTGCCTGCAAAGAGTTACAAAGGGCTCTCACTAAACTGGGTCACTGGGCAACAAAATGTCAGATGAAATTAAATCTTAATAAATGCAAAGTAATACACACATAATCTAACGGGGTCTAAATTAGCTGTTACTACCCAAGAAAGAGTTCTTGGAGTCATCATGGATAGTTCTCTGAAAACATCCACTCAATGTGCAGTGGTGATCAAAAACAGAAAGTTAAGAACCATTAGGAAAGGCATAGATAAGACCAAAAAAGATCATAATGCCACTATAGAAATCCATGGTACACCCACATCTTAAATGCCATGTGCAGTTCTGGTTGCCCCATCTCAAAAAAAGATAAGTAGAGTTGAAAAAAGTACAGAAAAGGGCAACAAAAATGATTAGGGGTATGGAACAGCTTCTACATGGAGAGATTAAAAACACTGGGACTGTTCATCTTAAAAAAGAGATGACTAATTAGGGACACGATAAGAGGTCTGTAAAATCCGGAATGATGTAGAAAGTGAATAAGGAAGTGTTATATACTCCTGCACATAACAGAAGAACCAGAGGTCACCCAATGAAATCAGTAGGTTTAAAACAAACAAGGAAGTAGTTCTTCACACAATGCACAGTCAACATATAGAACTCACTGTCATGGGATGTTTTGATTGCCAAAAGTATAACAGATTCAAAAAAGTTCATGGAGGATAGGCCTATCAATGGCTCTTATCCAAGATGGTCAGGGATGCAACCCCATGCTCTGGCTGTCCCTAAATGTCTGACTACCAGAAGCTGGGACTGGCCAACAGGGGATGGATCACTTGATAAATTGCCCTGTTCTGTTCATTCCCTCTGAAGCATCTGTCACTGGCCCCTGTTGGAAGACTGGATACTGGGCTAGATGAACCATTGGTCTGAATTGCTATGGCCAGTCTTATGTTCTTACTGTTTGTGGAGTCAGGAGTGAAATGGTTAATGTTACGTTTCAGTAGTAATCAGATTTCCAAGGGGTAGCAGCCCACAGAGATGAAAGGGGGATGTTCAAACTGCTTAGTGCCATTGTTCCAGATGGGCTGCAGCTTTGGCCCAACAATAGTGCAGTGGTGTCCACTCTGTGGGGCGAGCTTGACACACAGAGCTAGAAACTTCCTCTTTAAGATAAGCACTTAGATATTGGGCTAAGTATTAGTTTATGTATTGCTATTGTCCCAGGTCACAGCTCTTAATCAGTTTTGAAAGTGGTTTGCGGATTCAGTTTGTAAACCTACTACATTTTTGCAGTGCTTAATATTGCTGTAGTGTTGTTAAAGTGCCAGATAAACTGCTATAAAGAGGATTGACAGGAACATCACAGTGAATTTCACAGCAGGATACAGTACAAACTTGGTTTATAAAGAGCAGCAATGGTCTGGTGTGTTGTCACTGTAATTGTCCAAAATAACTTACGCGAGTGCTGCCTCCAGACTATAGCACTTCCCTACTAGGGGAAACTCCCAGCAGTTTGGAAAGCTGCTTTTTTTCCTTCTGAAGTTGAGGAACAAAAGTATGATAGTAACATATTAAAGGGTCATTATCTAGATTTCCTACGTCTTAAATGCATCATACAATAGCAGTACCTTCCTGGTTTCATTTACATTTATTTTCCCAACTTATCTTAGAAACTTGGGAAAGTATTATTGTTCCCACATTTTGTGTAAGGGCCTATGTATAAACAAAGTGTATGCCCAATCCACGTTTTAAATAGGTAGTGGAGATACTTTCTATAGGTGTGGCTTCTCTTAAAAGATGAGAAATATAGGTCATAAGTTATTTTAGTGTGTCTAAATCTGGTTCTGTTTTCATAGCACAGCCTTCATAAAATGCTAGTGTTGGACAGTGCTATCAGCATCTCAAATGTGAATAGCAACAGAGGGTCCTGTGGCACCTTTAAGACTAACAGAAGGTGCCACAGGACCCTCTGTTGCTTTTTACAGATTCAGACTAACACGGCTACCCCTCTGATACTCAAATGTGAATGCGTTTCAAGTATCAGACCCCTCCCCCTCTGCCTCTGGGAGTGAGCCTGCCAGCCCATATAGACAGATTCATGCTAGTGGGGCTTGCGCTAGTGTGCTAAAAATGGCAGCATGGGCATTGCAGTTCTAGTGGAGACTCGGGCTAGTCACTCCAGCTCATACCCAGCAGCTGGGGTGGGCTTTGCTTGAATGCCTGAGCTGCTGCCCAAGCAGCACAAGCCACCCTGCTATTTTTAGTGCATCAGGTTGAGCCCGGCCAGCACAAGTCCATCTACCAGGGCTGGGAAGCTTGGTCCCAGCTGCAGTGTGGGCATAGCGTTACAGGCTAAAGCATAACCAACCACCCAGTTATTGGAGTTGTACTACAGAACTAACTGAGGGATTCTTAAGGAATGATGTACTTGAATTTGTAAGGCTGTGACGTGGCTGGGAATGTGCAATGTCAGGGTAGGTCTACACTTAAAACACTGCAGCTGCAGTGCTTCAGTGAAGATGCTACTACACCAACAGGAGCGCTTCTCCCATTGGCGTCGTTACTACACCTCTGCGAGAGGCAGCCGCTATGTCAACGGGAGAAGCCCTGCTGTTGACATAGCGCTGTCTACACGGGGAGTTAGGTGGTTACAACTGCGTTACTCAGCAGTGTGGATTTTTCACACTCCTGTGTGATGGAGTTATACGGATACAAGGTTGCAGAGTAGACCTGGCTTTGGCCTCATTTAGAACTGTTAACAGACTGCTGCCTGTAAGCGGTTTCTGTGGTGAGTGCACGTAGGCCCCTAACTGAAAAGCCCAACCAGCGCAGGGGACGATGGGGGGAACATTGACGTTATCCTGTAGAGTGGAAAGAGCCCAACGTCATAGCACAGTTCACTCCGATTTAGAGTACAAAACAGAAGAGCATTTGAACCATGATGCAACAGGTTTTCCAGCCCTGCTGAATTATAAATGGGTTCGAGCAGAGGTTCCCTAGCCTGTACATACAGGGATTTTTTTAAAATCCCAAACCAGTAGTATTAAACCAGTCTAAGTTCAGAAGACAAATTTGTAGTCACGCTAGGGAAGAGTGTTTGACGAACTCTCTAAAGCTTATTTTCTGCTTACAAGTTTCCTCACTGGTTCAGATCCAGCAGCGTCAACAACACTGGGAGCTTTAGTATACACGGAGTGTGGATTGCTGCCGTAGTTTAGCGTGGTGTCCTGTCCAAGCAAGTCTAACCACTATGCTGTTAAAATAGCAAGTACTGCTAGGATTATTATTATTTTTTTTTTAAGAATGTTACTCTAGAGCAGACAAGCCAATAGGCAAATATATGCAGGTACATCTCACTGATAGCAGAACTGTGCAGTAGTATGACTCTTCCTATAGTACAGCTGAGCCCATAAAATGGCTTAAACTCCATTGTAACAAAGAATAGTTCTCTCTCTGCTTCAACAGAGTGGACAAGGCCTCTCTCACATTAGGGGGATAATGGGTAGCACAGCTCTCGGAGTGTGGCTCAATGTGGTCTGGGTGGGCACCCATTCCAGTAACAACTGTCTTACAGATGAATTTGCTAGTGGGTGTTTATGGCCACTACTCAGTTGTTCAAATACAGTTAAATTGGGGATGGGCTTATATCACCAACTGAGTTTCAGATCAGACCTTCCCATAGATCATCCGTGTACAGAGGTGGGATTTTCATTAGAGAGAGAGGCCCCACTGCTCCAAGCTGTTACATGGAACCAAGGCTCCATACAGAGCACCCCTGCAGTATAACATGTGTTAGCTTAGGGCATAACCTGCATGATTGGGGTTTTAGAGTCTATTGTCCCCACAGTCCCAACAGAATTTTGGGGAGAGCTGGAGGTGAGATTGGGGGTTGGGACTGTCTCTACACAGAACAAAGGAGTTATCATCTGACTTAAAACCTCCACTATACTTGTGTTAAAATGGTTTTCAGATAGGGAATAAGAACTTGTGTAAGTGCTGCCTGGGGCTTTGTTCAAAGCCATTTGTGGGAAAGTGATCTATTTCCTGTACAGCAGAGGTCTGATATTACACATAGAGAGGAGGGGTGGAGGGGAAAAGGGCATGGTACGAAGAAGAAAACAAATGCAGAGTGTTTAGAATTCCTCCATGTGAGCAATTCATTTTCTGTTAATACTGCATAACTCAGAGCAAAAGGCAAGGCACACTCACCTTGTACATCAGTATCTACATGCTTTAGGCACTATAAACAACAAGGGGGAATATACAATCACCGTCCCGCACAGCTGTTCCAGTTTCTGTATTTTTATCAGTTGAAGTTCCAAGAAGTTTCTCTGCAACCTGTGAGTTTGACAGGATACAGCTGTGGTAAGACCTGCCCTGGAAATAGTGTATACACTGCAAACTCTCTCTTTGAAAGTGTCATTAACAGAACTAAGAAAAATCCCCCCCCCCCCGCCCCAGTTAACAAACATGGTATCAGAGTCTTCCCCACTAGATATTGTACAATGCAAATAAACCTCTAATAAGGGCACAGGGGGCTTTTTGGTTTAAAGAAGCTTGTGTTACTGTAGTTAATGCAAGAGTCAGACAGACTTGTTATGGAGCACAAAACCAGTTATCTAGAAGTTTCGATACCCGAGAGTATAAATAACCATTACTACAGAGCCTGGATTCCGTTTTCGGAGAGTAGTCGCCAAGTAAACACTGAGGAATCCCTTTGAAAAAGTATGGTCTGAAACAACCGTCAACATGTGCCAGGCAAATAAAAAAAATGAGCTGCCAGATTTGGTTATGGAAGCTTCTTGTTACTAGAATGTTCAGATCTACTGTGGTAAGCAACACGGCTTGGAGTGTTAATCACAGATGCTGAAGGGCCTCTTGGCCTTGTTCGGTGTAGGAGTCATCTTTGTTTGAATCTGCCCATTCGCCAAAAGTATCCTGGAAGTGAACGTTTTTCTGTGTCGTCTGCATGCGTTTTTTATCACGAGAGAAGAAACTAAACCTTCCAGAAAGTAAAAAAGACAAAATTAGAACCTAGTGGTTTGGAGACATTTGAGATAACTGATACACGGTGCAACAAAACTTCAAGAGCAAAAAACTGTTTGCATCTGCAAAATGAAGGCAGCGAAGCCTGATGGAGTATTTGTCAAACATTATTCAAGATGAAGTCACTGCCATCTCCAGCTGCTTTGTTACTGAAGCTTCAAAAGAAGCTTTAAATGCTGTGACCTACACACACGTGCAGTCTTAGTTTGGGTGTATTAGTTATTAAAAAAACCCACAACAATGAAACAAAAGGATTAGTTTCATGCCATAAACAAAATAAATTGGCATAGTGTCTTTTTGGCATGAAAACGCTACAATATGCTTTTAAGTAGAAAGAAGAAGTTGGGGGTGGGAGGGAGAGAGGGAAATAAATATAAGAAGTCACTAAAACAGGGGTAGGCAACCTATGGCACGCATGCCGAAGGCGGCACACAAGCGGATTTTCAGTGGCACTCACACTGCCTGGGTCGTGGCCACCAGTCTGGGGGGACTCTGCATTTTAATTTAATTTTAAATGAAGCTTCTTAAAACATTTTAAAAAACCTTATTTACATTACATACAACAATAGTTTAGTTATATATTATAGACTTGGAGAAAGAGACCTTCTAAAAATGTTAATGTATGACTGGCATGTGAAACCTTAAATTGGAGTGAATAAATGAAGACTCGGCACACCACTTCTGAAAGGTTGCCGACCCCTGCACTAAACATTTAAAGAAATGTTTAAAGTGCATACTTTTAATACCTTAGGCCCAGTTCCAGCACACACCTAAACACGTATGTAAGTGTTTGCAGGATCAGAGTCTTAATTAACACATTAAATGTGCATATCGTTTACCCACACACAGTGTGTGGGTGCTCAGTTAATAGTATGCATAAACTGATAAGCCATTTTAATAAGCCCGTGAACCGCAATTAAATGCAAAGCTGATACTACATAAAATTAAAAAATATCAGTTTATTAGTTTTTCTTGTTTGTATGGCAGAGACGTTATCAGCTTAAGCAAAATAATTTTTTGTTATTATAGTGAACCATATATTAAAAAAATGCAAAAGGTGTTCGTGCAGTGTTAAAATGTAATTCATGTCTGTTGGGAAATGCAAAAGTTAAGGTACCATCTTCAGCGTTAACCACAATGCATATCCTTCCACTTTTATGGTGCTCTTTTTTTTAGGACTTTTTGTTCTGTTTGTATAGTACCTAGCACAATGGGGTCCTTGTCTACGAGTGGAGTCCTTAGGTTCTACTACTGCAATACAAACAATAACATGAGTACTACATTAAGCTACTTTTAAGTACAGGATAGAAACTACTACTACACGAGTGCAGTTCAAGCAAGTTAACATTGCTGCAGGGACCTGAATGTTTGCATTTCCTAACTTTTTGATTTTAAGTCTGCAGCCTTAACATTGCAGTGTCTTGCATTTAATTTCCCGTTTGTTCTAAGAAAGTATATGTCAGCACTACCCTGCCACCGTCACCCCGGAGCTTGTAAATTCGTTATGCTGCATCTGTTTTTGGTTGGTTGATTGGTTTTTTGTTTTTAAAGGCCAGATTCCAAGTCCTCCTGGCATAAGTGCACTGCTAACTAGGGCTTTCCCCTGTGCATATTTGTTCCTGCATTTTCAAAATGTTTATAACTAACATTTTTCAAATTTAGTAAAGCACACGCTTCAGTGAGGACAGCTGTATTTACATGCTAAGTTTCAAGGGTCAAAGTTCAGCCATTTGAGTTACTCTCAAATTATGATGTAGGAAAATGGATATTTTATATATAAACTATTTATTCTAAATCCAGCTGAAGAGATTTTGGTGAATTTAGAGTGTCATTGTTGGGCCAAGAAAGCATGGAAATTCTCAGTCCAAAAGTTGAATGTTTAGAAAGATTACAAGTTTCTGTGTGGGAAGGGAAGGAATTTAGAATGAAAACTATTTTGCAGCCTTCAATATAGTGGTCACTTCACATGATCACCATAATAATCAAAATTCAACCAGAACTTGCATTAGCAGTAGTCAATGCCCCCTTTTGATAGCCAAGAATCTAGTTGTAGAACTTGTTTTAAGTACATATAATCTGGATAGTGTGGAGCACACAATAGGAGACCAAAATCCACAGTTAACATATACTCAGACATGTAAATGACAGCCTATAAATAAAGTAAACACTAGGAGTTAGCACAGATATCGGCCATTATATTCTGTAGAATTAATTTGTAGCAGGTCAAAAAAATTACAGTTTTTAAAAAGCACTTGTCATGATAGATATAACACAAAACAGGTTTAGTAAGCAAAATTAACAGATGTTGGTTAAAAAGCTCTTATTGAATTAATTTCCTAATGGGTAATGGACAAATTGGTTTAGCATGGTAACATTAAGACAAAAATGATGGAACAGAATAGTCAAGACTGAGCATTGAAATACTGAAATGTACTGATTGATCATTCTGATTGGCAGCTTTTGAGTTTCTGTGATCCTATAGTCAGCCAATGAGAATGCAACCAGCAGCTTATATTAAAGTACATGAGGGTCATGCAAAAAAACCAAACCAAAAGAGAACCCACAAAAAAACCACAGTACGAAACATTTAAAAAAAAAATTCCTACAAGGGACACAAGTCTTCTTATTGGCTGCAATGTGGGATCATCTGGAATCAATCCAGCTGCTACCATGGGCATTATGGCTGTAAAGATCCTGGTCAGAAAAGTACAGGCACAGAGATAAGACTGGAGTAATAAATAAAAGACATTCCATAAAAGACAGGTAAACAAGATACATAGGGTTACTTTGAATTATCACACATGAGAGTAGGGAGAGAGAGAAATGTATCTGCAGCACCCAAGACACCTGCTCACTGGCACTTCTGGGTTAGATAAATTAGTACGGTAATTAAAATCTGGTTGTTATGCCATCTTAAAAATATTCATAACTGAGAGGTCAAATTTCTACTGTGATGCAGCACACAGCCTTGGTGTAACTTCACCAAGGGATTATAATCTCTAGCAATGCAGAGCATGAGAATACATTGTTTTTCCAGTTTACAGGTTTGTAAAAGAAACAGGCACATACATAACGGTGAAATGAAGGATGAAGGTGGATGTTAAGAAATACAAACAGTGCTCTACAATACAATAGAATAGCTACTGCTTTTCCATGGATATTTGCATAGGAAATAGGGTTAGAAATGATCCATTTTACAGTTTTAAGGGTATTACAAGTGACAAAACTGATACTGTCAAGTTTAAAAAAAAAAGTATTTGAAGACTTGAAATAAACCCCATTGCATTCTACTTGGTTAAAAAGGGCCCATGTCTCTCTTCTGAGTGGTTCTGCATCAATACACATGCAGAAATGCCAACCACAGGCAGCTAGAATACTGGTTTCAAAGCCTTACAACTATGCTAGAAGAAACATTATTTTATCTGACTTGCTGTGACAGTTTCTTTGTAAGTGTTCAGCCCTTTTACTGCACATCATATAATTCATGCAACTTGGAGGTACACTCTGGTGCTCAAAACACCTGAACATGAGAGAGCACTTTGGCTAGATGCGCTGTATGACTTGGCCCACACAAAGCATCTTCGTCCATACCTGCAACACCCTCTGCTGTTCTAAGGATTCTCCTCTGCAGATACTGTCAACTGTGGCCAATTTATTTTTGTACTGTGGACTAATGTCAGTTAAGGATAAAGTTGAGATCACCAGAGTCATTTCACTTGTGACCTAATGCAGCTCAAAAGCCTTCCTAACACAGCTGCTGTAGCTGCTATTCTTGGAATCAAAACAAACAAACATTGTTATATTATTCACCATAGCTTGGACTTCTAGTTTTACACACCATGGCCCACTCGGTTATCTATAGAGCTCAGACATCAGAACAAGATGTAAGACTACTTCGGGCATTACATTGAACAAACAAGTGTGGTACTCTTAAAGAAAAGGGTCTTTCTGTACAGCGTACAAACAAAATAGAGCCAGCATTTTTAATTCCAGTACTGATGCTTTTTCCACACAAGTATCTCCTTTTGGCTGACGACAGATGTTCTCTCATTACATGCAGCCATAGAGGAATAGAGATAAACTTACTGGTAAATCAAGGTCATCTCAGGAGATCAGTGCCCCTTTAAACTTGTAGAGAATCTAAAAATCAAGCTGTAACCCCAGGGAGAAAAAAAAATGTAGATTTCAGAACTTCTGTTTCCCTTAGCTGTTTGCAAATGCAGCAACTCACCAATTGTATGAGCCAATCCAAGATGGTAGAGAATATGCCTGGTGTCTTTATAATACTGTATTCACAGTGAAGGGAAAGAGATGTATTTTAAAGAGGCAGACATACAGCTTTTCCTAAGAGAATGGCAATAAATCTGTATTTTCTTAGTTAGGCTTTGTTGAGAGAGAGTCTGAAAACAGGAGTGGCAGCTAAGGCTGTCAGGGTTCTAATCCCAGCTCTGTTCCAAAGGAGTACTAAGGTAGTGTTTTTAATCTATTACATCTTATCCTAGTGCTACTGCAGGTTTGGAGAGTTTACAGTAGAATACTTTAGTTACAGTGTCCCTCTATGGTTTTAAGCAGGGGACTTGGGGCCTGATCTTACAAGGTGCTGAGCAGTTCTGAGTGTCCACAACTTCCATTGGCAGTGGGACCTGGAGCACAGGAGTGACTCATCACCTTGCAGAATCAGATCCTAAGTAACTTGACTAAGGCTCCCTTCAGCCACAGTTGCGTCTCCCAGCCCTGCAGCATCACTGGGGTAAGCTGTGGTATTTTGGTCTATTAATTTGGCTGCATCTTCTTTTTGCCTCCACTTCCCCATCTGTAAAATGGATATAATGGGATTTATTTACTGTTTAGGTAATTGAATGGCTATAGCCTCAGGGTGCTGAAAGTCTGCCTAGAGCAGGAGAGATCTGTCAGCTTGAGGGATAAACTGTATCCCTAACTCTCACCTGACCAAGAAGCAGCTGGCTACCTGGGCTGTGTTACTCCTTCTGGTACCTGAGTGGGGGGCTGTAAAGTGGCAGCTGCAGGAGAAGACACAGAAATGGGGGCCTTTTTCTTTCCCAGCAATTCGGTTTCCTTTCATTTCAGGCAATCACATAGACCCCCAGCACCTGCCGAACCTTGGCCTATGTGGGGACTACTGAAGTCCTGGAGTGCCCCCCAGCTCAGGACTGCAGACAGTGCCCCAGCCACGGAGGACTGCTGGTGCCACAGTTTCAGGCACTCCAGACATGAGAGAGACAATGAAGACAGATGGGTTCTGTCTAGGGAGGCTGCAAAAAAGTTCAAGTACCATTGTTGTCTTGGTTAACTTAAGATAAGGAAAGAATTATCCCAAATTTAACAAACAAAAAAAATTTATATATACACACACATTTTATATTATATTAAAAAAAAGAAAAGGGTCCCATTTCCCCCCCTACACACACACACACACCCCTGCAAGAGGCAGGGAAAAAAAAAAAACAACAACAACACAACAAGGTGTTGAGAGTGCCAGTTGACAAGAAAGCCAGTTCCCCCAGATAGCAGGTTTGGTACACAGTTCCATATCCCAGTAAGAATGGGCAGGGGAGCTCTATGTTTAGGATGACAGCCTGGGAATTTATTAAAATGTGAAAGGAGTTTTTGAAAGAAGGGAACAAGTCAAAACAACAGGTTTAACTTTTACTACTGTTAGATATGGGTGATTATAAATTAAAAGGCAAGATGATAAAGAAAGATCTGAATTTGTCTAGAAGTTTTCCATTTGATTAGTGGCCAGCTGCCCAACATATGTTCCAGAGCACTCCAGAAAAATCAGAGGAAGAACCCAGCGAGACAGCCACTCCAAATATCCATGCTCTCCTGCCATGACTCCCTATGCTGCCTATGTATGTTAGAACCAGAGAGAGCCAAAACTAAGAATGTCCAGTTAGCATTGCAACAAAATGTGGTCAGTTTACAATTTTGTCCCGCTTTTGCTCAAGATAATCCCAATCCACAAATTGCAGTCACCATTATATTGGTTATGTGGCCATTCCCCACAAATGGGGAATCAAACTAAATAAAGTGAAGGATTAAATAGTAATACAGGAACAGAACATTTATGATGGAGATGAACATACAAGATAAACCCACTAGTCCAAACATGACATGCTCTTCTCATAAGTGTTATAAAAGTAGGGCATCATAACCATAATCATGAGGAAAAGTAATCCAAATGTCAAACTCAAAGTATAATTTTCAAATACAAAATAAAGGGTCATTGAAGCAACCAGTCTGAAATATGGCCCATTCCTATGCACTAATAAGCATGAGCTAAAGCCAACTGGAGTCAATAGAAACACTCCAGTTACCTTTACTGGAGTTTGGATCAGCCCCCAAGATCATCCAGTGGAAGGCACTAGGTAAGTGCAGGCACTATTTTTATATGGAAGCTGAAGGTTATATGCATATAGGGACAGGATGGGAGAGTTTTGCAACTAAATAAAAATGTGGCATATCCAAATAGTTTATGCATTGTTAAAATAGTTATACTATTCACAAAACATGAAAACCTCTTAGCGGGTTCAAAAGCTAATATTTGGAATAAAATGGTGAGAGTGAGCTGACAATAGATAAACTGACAAATGAAGTGATTCAAAAATTTGTTTTTCTAATCCTTTCTGCACAGTATTATTACTTACACCCCACTATAGGGGACATGGAGCTTTACAGGTCAGAAAAACAGAGACAAGCCCCCTCTGACAGGGTACATAGTAAGCAAAGAGTTAACTCTTTGCTTAGACCTAATGCAGGTGTTCTGTATACAGCTATGTGTGTACAGGGAAATGGCAAGGCTTGAACCTGAAGGCTCAATTAGATTCTCAGGATATAGGAATCTGTAAATATGGCTACTTAGTAGTGGGAAGGGAAGGAGACTGAACTCCAGACCCAGCTGTTATGTGCTTGAGCTTTCGTTTCTTTCGTAACCAACACATTCTACAGCTCTCAGGTGTGAGACCTAGAGGAGGCAACTTGCTGACATGTTCCCATTGCTGAGTCTGCTGTCTTTGCCCCAAGGAGTTTACTATCTAAATGTAAGCAAGCATATAGGTGAAAAAGTGCCCAATTTTACATTCCTAATGCATCCTGATCTTACATTGGGCTCAGCTGCAATTTGGGGTGCCCAAGGAATGCAGGATCAGGCCTGAAATAGGACCACAGCCCATGGCGAGAGACCAGCAGTTCACTTTCATATGCAGACACAAACATCCTCAGAGCCTGAATAGGCTGACAAGATGGTTCCAAATAAGAGCCAGAGTTTCTGTGGCTAACAGCTTGTTAGCTCATATGCTGTTACAATCCATAACAACATAGGCTATTCTACTCAATCTGAGTATTATAACGGTACTCAAGAAGGGAATATTAGAATGTAACACACCATAGGCGCTCAGTTTATCTGTAACCATAAATGCAAGTGCACAGAACACTTATTCTCCCTATTATGTGTGTGAAGGGAACCGGTCAGAGATAGGAAGTCACCGAGAATTAAATCAGCACTATGTTCTGTTTTGTTTCATAAAACCTCTAAAATGTGTTTTTATAATACTGTTTATTATAGGATTATTTCCAAAACACATGTGCATGTGATATCACTAAATGAAGATTAATGGGGTTGGAGGGGTCAGGGGGGAGAAACCAGAACTAAAACCAACCCAATTACCCCCCAAGAAACATGCCCAGTTCAAGATCATTGGAAGAGAATGCTACTTACAGTCGTTTGATTCCAGATTCTGGCTGAGTTGAGGTTTTTGAATTAATTATGGGTGTAGGTTGAGGGGATCTAGTTTCTTCTTCTGTTTCCTCACTTTAAGAAGAGAAAAAAAATACAGTTAAGTTCTAGTTCTTTCATTATTCTGGAGAAATTTAAAATAAAATTTGAAGGAGTTTTGTAAATTTAAAGAAACTAATGGCCTGATCCACAACCGATGAAAAGATGCCCTCTGACTTTAGTGGGTTTGGATCACACCCTGAGTTTCATGAATCTGAACAAGTTTTGTAAACTGAAAGGAACTGAGGGGCTGATTCAAACCCATTCAAGTCAGTGGCAATCTTTTCATCAGCAGTGGATAAGGCCCTTAGTTTCTTTTAATTTACAATACTCTTTCAAATTCAAGTCACCAATGTTAGAAGATGAGTTCTATAACTGTCACATGAGGAGGATTTGTAGGGTTAATCATACGCAGTGAGTGCCATTAAAAAGGTCAGACTTCTGTGTAAGCTTGAAAGCTTGTCTTGCTCATCAACAGAAATTGGAACAGTAAAAGATATTACCTCACTCACCTTGTCTCTCTACTATCCTGGGATCTGACATGGCTACAATACTGCATATATTAAAAAACTTCAACATTCAGGTAACCCAAGTACCTGCAATAGCTTCTTAAACTCAGAAGAGGACAGAATACTGCTGTGCAGCATACAGCAATCCCTGGAGAGTGACAGGCTCAGTTTAATGGATCCCACCATTTATGAGAGGAAAACTGACCATGTGATTTACAAAAAAAAAGGTTGTGTAAGTGCTGGATTGACAGCTCAGGAGTCCCCGGTTTAGTCAAAGAACAGGTGCAGCATTGGGAGCAGCAAGACTGTCTCCCCCCTACTGATATACCTCAAATGATGGTCTAAACAGAGCTGTAGGGGAGGCTAAGCTCTCCTGTCTTCAGGGCCCATTCAGTCCTTGGCCTCTATGAGGAGACTGGAAATCACTGGCATGCTAATGGCAATGGTCATGATAGTTTTAGGATTTTGGCACTTCTCCACTGGGTGCTGAACTGCGACCATAACCTTGCTGCCCTTGGGCCACAGAACAGGTATCAGATGCAATACATTTTTGGCACTAGCCATGTGCTGAGGAGTAGATTTTTGCCAGTGACCTAGAGGTGTATGCAGTCCCAGGGACATATAGACCCTATATAGCTTTGCTGAGAATGTTAAATGAGTGTAAGTAAATAAACTGTCCCTACATGAAATTTACGATTTTTTTTTTTTTTTAAAGAGCTGATTGAAAGAGTTAGGGTGTGCAGGGTGGGTGGTTGTTTTTTTGTTGTAATTTCAAGCCAGATTTTGTTCCACAGGTATGGAAAAGATTTATTTGTTGCTCATTTGAAAAAAAATTTAAACTAAGATTTTTGGTTGTTGGGGTTTTCAATTCCCTTCCCCAGATTCTCTCCCTCCATTTTGCCACTAAAGAAGAAAGGGAGGAAAGAAGGAAAGAATGAAAAAAAAAAGTGCAAATATTTCCGTCTTTGTCAACAGGCCATTTTCTGATTTTTTATATATAAAAAATAATAATAAAAAAAAGAACAACAGGCACTAACAATTTCTTTCCCTTTTAAAAGTATGCATTTGTTTGCAATTTCTGCTATTGAGAGGTCACAGGTTTTGGGGAACATTAAAATTAAACCAAACTCCTCCCAAAACTTATTTGAATTTTCACCATGAACCAGATTTTGGAGCCATCTTTACTTTGTCTTAGGGAAGCCAAGAATCCGCTGCCATTTCTTAGAGACTATTTAAGCGGACACTCACAGTTTTTAAATCCAACCTCTGGTTTCCCTCTATTCTGTGCCTCTTCAAGAGTAGGACAATGGAGAAGGCAGAGGTAGCAATACCAACAGTGGGAGCCAACACACCTCTTATAATATAAAAGCTCCTCCTGCAACAAAAACACTCTAGACTTCAGTTCATTCCGCTCGTGTAAGACATCCCGTAGTTCTTGTAGAGTAAATCTTGGACGGTTTGGATCTTTTAAATCCAGAGCCATCTTCTCCGATTCAGAGAGAAAGTCATCATTGTTAGGTTCTGTCTGGAGGATGAAATACAAGCTTTAATTAATTCATTGCGCACTCAATAAAGGCTTAACTTTTCCTTAGAGATGCAATTGAATCATCCATCTCTATTCTTAATATTATAAGAGCCATCAACAATGTTAGAGGAGTGCTACGGAAAGCCAACTACTTTTGCTTCATTGTTCAGGTTTAATAAGATCCCCAGCAAGAATAATTCAATGGTAGTCATTTTTTAAAATGTAGGGCCTGTGTTTTGACAAGGGCCTACTTTCCACAGTTTCTTAAAGATAGTTAATCAAATATTTTAAAATAAATGACCCTTGCTGTGTGGCTTGTTTAGTGTATTTTCAATCATAAAGAGACGCTTCTTGAGAAGATGTTGCAAGTTTCCCTGATTATATAATAACCTACTACATTACTGCCCTTGCTCAATTGACACCTCTTTGATGTCAACACCAGTGAACCTGAACAGCTGCAAAGAGGAGATATACAGATGTGTGCAGAGCACCCCATATTCCCTGTGGGTAACGGTAGGGTTGGCTTTTTTATTTTTGAAATAGAACTATTATATAGAAGAAGGATGGGAGTAACTGGTCTATGTAAGATTCACTCAAAGTTAGGAGATTTCTCCAGTTTTGGTCCTGGAGCCTGTAGATGTTCTGTCTCTTGCATCCTAATTTCTGCAGAACTTGGACCGTGATCTACGCAGATGGTTTCTCACACCTGTGTGGAGCCCTACCAAAATCAATGAGATCCTGCGTGGCTCTGTTTGCAGGGACATGGCCCAAGGGACTACAGCACAGAGAAGGAGAAGAAAGTCACCATACACGATACTGCTGCTGTAGTCAGTGACATCAGGTGGCCATATAAAGCAGAGTAAGCGATATGGAGAAAATACAAGCGTGTTGGAAGTGTGTGCTTGGAATCTGGATGTTCTGCAACACAACTGAGAACACTACGAGGTATGGGAAACATCCAGCTGTGAAATAAATGTTGGAACGGTGTGTTCAGCAAAGTACATTTGAAACTCAATACTTGTTGCAAGAGCTGATGGGGTGCCAGCACATGGAAGCAGTGTCACTGAAGCAGAGACACTTATTTACATATTTGGGCCTAATGAAGATAAGCAGGGAAGAAAGTAAGCTGCCCACCTCCCAAACTGGATTTTAAAGAGATACCAAGAGAGTCCAAGAGTTTCTTGGCTATGTCACTGGAGTCAGAAGTCTGCTGGTGTTCCAGTGGCATGGAGGCTCCTAACTAGGTATTTTATATTCAAAGTATAGCCACCTAAATAGAGATGTTCCTTTCAACACTCCGAATGGAAAAAGGCGGATCAAGATCTCATTTCCCAGGGAAAGCTTCTCTAAATAAGATGCACCCCCATTTAGGGCCAATATAATAAAAATAAATACTGAGCACTTCTATTCTAAAGCATAGCACTACAGATCTTCAGATGCCTTCAGATTTGACGTTGAATTGATCCCCAAGACCCTACAGAGTAGGTCAGTATTATTACCACCATTTCACAGACAGGAGAACTAAGGCTACGTCTACACTGCGCATCTTACAGCAGCACAGCTGGGCTGCTTCTAAGTGCTGCTGTAAGGTATGCAGCATAGTTGCTCTTTGTTGGCAAAATAAAACCACTCCCAATGAGGGGCAGTAGCTTTGTTGGCGAGAGAGAGCATCTCCCACCGATAAAGTGCTGTCCACTCCGGCACTTTTTGTCAGTAAAACTTTTGTTGGTCAGGGCTGTATTTTTTTTTTTTTTTCATGCCCCTGACTGACAAAAGTTTTACTGGTGGAAGTGCAGTGTAGACCTAGCCTAGGGTACAAGAAGAGGAAGTGACTTGCTCACAGAGTGAGTCCATGTAGAGAGTCAGGATTAGAATTCAGGAATTGCTGGCTCCCGTCTGATACTCTATCCACTAAATTGCACTGCTTGTCAATGTCAGTCCTATAGGCGATACGTAGTAATAGGGAGTATAGTCTCTAGTAGAGCTTGTTGGAAAATTAAATCCAAACTGTTTTTGCAGAAAGTTTTATATATTAAAATTTTCCAACCAGCTCTAGTTCCCAGGAAACTACCCATGGGTTTAATTGGTATTAAACTTGTTTGATTAAAAAGGGAAAAAGCCATTTTTATAACAATTCAGGAAAACTACTGGCTTCTAGAGCCCACCCTCTAGTTATGAAACCTATCAGTAGAGCAGGTTATCTATCTATACCACATTTAAAACAAGGTGGTAGCAATTTTTCCTCTGTAAAGCACTACAGAGTGAGATTGATTAGAGTGAGGGAGATGTCAACAGCAGGTATATACCACTGAAAGCAGATAGTCTACATGCTCCTATTATTGAGAATGCCATTTTCTAGCACTCCAGGGAATATGCAACCTAGGGACCCCCCCATTCCTGTAAACACTTCACTTTATGCATCTGAGTAGTGCTATAGAGTTCAATGGGATTTCTCACGTATTTAAAGTTCAGCACATATGTACCTGTTTGCAGGATCAGGGTCAAAGTCTCCCCACTGTCACTGTTATATTGATTGAAAGAACATTCTCTCCATTGGGCGGGAAGGGGGTCTAGTGGTTGGAGCAGGGAACGGGAAGTCAGGACTCCTGGATTTCATTCCCACCTCTTGCTCTAACTCACTGTGTGACTCTGTGTAAGACACATAAGGTGACTTTTCCAATAGTGGCCTCTAGTTTGGGGTACCTGATTTTAGGCACCAAGGGCCTGATTCTTCACAGGTCTCAAGGTCTCACAAGCTTCACTTGGGAATGGTGGGTACTCAGCACTTCACAGGAAAAGGCTCTAAGCAGCTAAATTTGGGGACCCAAGTACTGGGGCATCCAAACACAAGCCACTTTTGAAAGTACAGGCCTAACTGTCTCCATCCCTCCGCTCACCCATCAGCAAAATAACCTTCACCCTCCTCCCAGGGCTGTGGGGAGGGTTAGTTAATGGATGTTTGTAGAAGTGCAAACTGTTGCTGCAGAATATTCTATCCAATGTCCTGCAAAGATGGAATAGCAGCTTGAATGATGGCTGGTCTCTGTTTGTCAGATCCTTACTATACTATTCAATTAGGTTTTCTTCTTATCGCAACCTAATGTCATAAGATGGATACTATGGAACACAAAATGTTCAGAGGAAATCATAACGTAAATGCTTTTCCATACAATTACACACATCTTGGTCACATGCATCATTTCAACGCCCATTTCAATTCTGTTTACTTCCCATCCCCTTCCCCAGATACGCCAGCTTGTCCAGGTCTCATCTAAGTCAGCAGAGACTGACACACACATAGCCAATGCAGCTAAGTTTACTCAGCCCAAGCCAACAACCGGTGCTAGTTCCAGAGAAGGCAGTTATTCCAGCTTTCTGCTTGCCACTGCAATTACTGCCTAACCTTCGCCCTGGCAGAAAGAATGGGAACGGCCGTAATTAGAAGAGATGCCACTGCCATGAAACTGATGAGTTACAGCCACAAGAAGAAAGCATCCTTTCTCTCCAGAGACTGAAGACACTTTCACGCTTGCTGGCTCAGGGCCTAGGCCTGTTTACAAAGCTGGGTCTCCCAGCTGAATTAACAACAATGAAATCATCCCTTAAACGATTAGTACCAAGCTCATTCAATTCATTAGTAAAACACTGACAGTCACTGTCACTTTTCTTGAGGGGGGGGGGGAGAGCAGGACACCCCAAGCATCCTCACATGCCCCTATTCACCTCTGTTTTCTCACTTATTTTCCTATCTACTTCTCCGCTGCTTTCAGTTTCCCTCTCTCTGGCTGCAATCTTCTGCTAAGGCATTTATACCGTGCTCGTGACCGGACATGTCTTTGCCACCTTAGAGGGGAAGCCAATATTTTAGCTGGCGTTAAACACTTAATAGGAAAATTCTTTAGAACATTGGTCCTCAAATTGCTTCAGACCATGGACTACTTAAAACAAAAGTGCTCTTGTGTACACCTCCCTGCCAAGGCCCAGCATCTCCCCTACAGCAAATAGAGAACTTCATTATATGGCAAAGTTCCATCAGGACACCATTAAGGAGACAAGATGAAAGTACATTTGCTCTAATGGGATGGATGGTGCTGCTTGATCCTTCATCCCCACTGCATGTCCTTGTTGCTTATTTCCTCTGTGCACATGAGTGTAGGACTTCACCTTGATTCAGAATTACTCTCCTCTCACTAGAGCAAAGGGGGACGCAGACAATCTCACCAGGTTACTTTGTAGTTTGGTGCTTTGCATGTTTCTGCAAATATTTGATCACTTAAACTCAAATTTACTTTCCATGAGCATCTGTGCTAGTAATACTCCATTGCACAAATGTTAATAGGAAGCTAATGCATGAATAGGGCCAATGCAAGTTCATTTAAAACATGCCTACAAATATTTACAGTCTTGTTTGATAGCATTATCCCTGGTCTGTTCTTGACAGGTCAGTTGAACAATACCATAGCCACTTTACAGACTCAGTCTTGCTCCCGTTAGCATCAATGGTGCAGGTTCACAACCTCTCCTCACTTTTATGGGTTTGTAACCAGCCCTGAGCATTGTTCATTCATGCTTTAATTCTGAACATTCACAATTAGTTTAGTGAATGGGAAGATGGTCAGTTAGAGAAATGACGTGCCAACAAAAAGGACAGAAAAATCTTGTTAATCCCTAGGATGCTGGCATCTTCCAAATGGTCAGTGAAATGAATGGGACATTCACTGGAATAAAATGATTATTAGATATGGGTAATTTTTAAAAGTCACAGTAAGTGTCTCAGTTATGTCATGGTCAATCTAGATTTTTAATATGAGTTAGGATCATTATGCTTCATGATATAAGAGAGTCACCCAATGGGTGTTAGGAAGAAGATTTTGCCTAAGTGCTGTTCAATTAGCAATTTATTATCTTGTGCATGTGTGTCTGGTACAAAGATTTTAACAGCATGAATGGATGGGGACACCATTAACCAGTGGCAAAAATCACTATGTTGTTATTCAGGTCATCCCAAATGAGTACTGCTAAAATATATACCTCCCCCCTCCATCCCTCTCTTTATTTTCTATATGCCACGTAGGTTAGACAAATACTGCTTCTAGGAATGTGATAGTGAGCTTCACAATTGTTTTTTAACTGGGACTGTATTTTGTATTCCTCTGCCTGTAAGTCCAGGTGCTTTGTGACCATGAGTCCCACTGTACAGGGCTCAGATTACACTAACAACTCTTAAGAGTGACCCACAAAAACAATTCTGTGCAGAATAATGTGACAATTTCAAGTCAGTATCTCAGGTCCTGCCAGAGCTAGCTGCATTGTAAATAGGGGCGTCTCCCTTGCCATTGGTATTATGCTAAGCACAGGACTGGCCTGAGTCTGACGGAGGAACATTTAAAGAGTCCAATTTGGTGCAGTAAAAGGAAGGTGGAAATGATTGTCTTGACAAGCTGTTATTTGTAAATGGCAGCTGACGCAAGCTGCTTAGAGGTTTAGAGTGTAGGAAATAGTCCCAGGAGGGCTGGATTAGTGGACAGAGTGCAGATGAGGCAGTCAAAGATGCAGGATATATTTATCCCACGGAGATCATCTCCATATAGTGTGTGCATGTGCACAACACACACACACCCCTACCTTTATTCTATATTTGTGGTCTCCCAGGGGTTAACTTGTGTGTCTATCAGAAGTGACCATTTCTATTTGTGGGTTCAAGACACGTGGCTCAGCCCCTAACTTTCAGTCATAGATGTAAACACAAGTTGCAGGTGAGTTTCCCCCAAGACCGGTAACCTCTCCAAGAGTGCAAAGGGTCAAGTACCTCAAGTGCTCGGATAGGTTTATAAACATTTTGCTGCAGGGCAGCCTATTTCTCCAGCTTAGTACCTGGAAAGCTGTGTACTATTCCATTTCAGAGGGCATGTGCCAGTTATCTGCTGAGATGTTGCCAAACACCACACAGTAGTGTAAGCAGGAAGTGACCCAGGGAACAACAGACCCGAACAGAAACGTTAAGGTATCAGGTATATAAAATGCAGGCAGGTAGTACTTTTCACTTTGGAGATATCTCTATGCCAATAATTTACATGGCTTACTGGAAAGTGCTCTGCTAGTTAGATTACAGTAGCACAGAGCCCACAACTGAGATTGGGACCCTACTCTGCTAGGTGCTGTATAGAGACAGTCCAAACCGCTTACAAATTGTTAAATTTACTGTGAGAAACCTCTCCCCCCCCAAATTTGTAGCAAGATGACACAATTAAGTTTTTAAAGGTATGTGTTAACAAGGACTAACAGGCCATGTGCACTGTAAATCCAGGAGATATGTTTGAAGTTGTTTTATATTAATAATGCAGGTTTTTTAGGACAAAAATGTTTATTTCTCCTCAGTCACTGCTGGTAAACTGTTCTGTTGGGGTTTCTATTCTAATGTAGATAGAGAGGTAAATATTCTATGCTCAACTTCAGTGGCAGTGACTGTAATAACTACACTGCCCCTCTGTAGGGTAATAGGCCCCATACTGGCCATTATTAGGACTGCAAATTCATCTGCCTGCAACAATTGGATACTGATAATTAAAGCAATACATTACATTCAAGCCAACAAAGAACAACATGAAGCATCCATGCAGGGTACTCAGAGGGCCCATCTACAATAAAGCTACAGCCAAGTCAAAGGGCTGTGTGTTACAATGTGCTTCTAATCTGTGACAAACATGGTCATCTACATTACATACGTAAACCAGGTCCTCCACATCTGCCTCTCTCTGTCTCTCTCATAACTGAGCTGTAGACAGGTTAAGTGATTTGCCCAAGGTCACCAAGAAGTCTGTAGTAGCACAGGAAATAGAATCCAAGTCATCTAACTCCCAATCCTGTGTTTTAGTCACAGCTTCTCTTGTCTCCCTTTAAAGCCAATAAGCTGATGTTCTTCAGACACACAGATTCCTTTTCCTTCCTGTGAAGGCTATGAAATGAGCCAAGTTTGAAGTTTCTAGACAGTCAACTGTTTAAGTTATGCAAGTGCAAAAGATACAGGGCCCAATTCTCCTCTTCCTTACACCAGTTTTAGACTGGTAACTCCACTGAAGTCATGGTTTATACCAGTATAAGAAGTGAAAGGAAAGTTAGGCTCAAAGTACAGTATATTCCTTCCACCTTCCCCCATACACACACACACAGAAAAAGCCAGACCAATGGAAAGTTTCTTCCCAAAAAGGAGGAATTGTTTTAAAAACATGGGGAGGGGGGGAAAAGCTTTAGAATGGAAACTGGAACTCAACCATAACTATATATAACACTTCTGCTTACTCGCCACAAATGAGTGGCATACAAGAGATTTTTAACTCTCACAGATTTTACTGCAGATTTTTAGTACAGTAACTTGCAGGCCTATGAAAGTGGATTGGGGAAGCCTGGGCAGTGATAATTGATGCTGCTTTATACAGAGCTGTCATCTGTAGGAACTAGATATGGGGCAAACCCAAAACCCCAGATCATAACACCTCCCACAAAATTTGGGAGGATTCAGAGCAACAAAACTATTAGAGAAAAGCCTAAGCCACAAAGAAACTGAAGTCTCTAACTCTCAATAAAACAAAGCGAAAGCCAGGGGCCAGAAAAGAAAGTCAGACCATCATTTACATCTCCATAGCACCTTTCCCTCCAATGTGCATGACAGTCACACAGTACCTCTGACGTGGGGTGGAGGGAAGATGCCTTCCAACACACTGCACAAGAGTGAAGTGGATGAGGAAAAGAAATTTTAAGCCAAGGACACCAGTAAAAACCCTATGTCTTAGATGTTCTGTTCCTAATGAGGCCAACAGAAATTCGCATTTCACTTCAGTGAGACTAGGCATAGGTTTCAAGCCTCAACGTCAGTAGCCAGCTTCTCCTCCTGTGATACTTTCAGGCCCATGTACAAGTCCTGGAGCCCTAAAATTTCCACCTGTCCTGCAAGTGAGGGGGGAGAGGGGATTTAATGTTCTAGCAGGCTGAATTCCACTGAACAGCAGTGTATCTATAAAATGAAGAGACCTCGTCTACTGCAGAACCTGGGGACTGCTACTGCACCAATGCCATAAACATTTCACCGACCAACAACAGTATCACCTGTAAGACCCATTGGGGCGAAAATTAAAACCTCTCGTCAGCCACTGCATTTTGGAACACTAAATATTTTAGGATGGGGAAAAAACACCACCACCAGACAAACACAGACTAAAAACAGCACAACCAAAATACTGGCTGCCTTGAATATAAACCAACAGCTGACACTAGAGATATTTTGGCTTGCCCGAGGCGTATTTAATACTGCTCTCACAAATCAACTATTTGTCACTGTATCTGGAGGATTCTGTGATCTGTCATGCAATCAGAAAGTCACACTTCCTGTGATGCATAGGACAGCAGCTCGACGGGTTGCTAAATGCATAGATGAGATTTTCTTATTCAATATAGAACTATTACATCACTGAAGAGTGCCATCAGCACAGTGTATTTGAATGAACAGCTGCCACAGCTACAGAAAGCTAGGACTGGCTACCTGTGGGCTGCAGTATTCCCCAGCTGGCTACCCTATGAAGTTACAAACACATGGTATTACTACTTGTTGTGTTAACTGGAAATAAGACATCCTAACACAGGCCCTGCCATGGCCTGGATGCCTCAAATGCACATCAAGCATTTACACTGCAAAGAATGAATAATAAAACTTTATAGGGCCTCCCTGGTTCAAGTGCCTTACTAAAGCGGGGTAAGTATTATCACCCCCTCCCCACTTTATATATAGCAAGACAGAGGCCAAGAGTTAAGGGTGCTAGCTTTAAATCTAGCTAGCACAGATAATAGTATAGATGTGGCAGCATGGGCTAGCCACTGGAGTACAAGCCCACCACAGAACTTGGACACATTCAGGTTGCCAGCCCATGCCATCCATCTTCACTACTATTACCTGTGCCAACTAGATTAAAGCTAGCTCAGGTATGCCTACCCCTACTAGTCACACCTTCACCTGCAGTGTAGACATAGCAAAAGTGACTTGATCAAAACTATGCAGCCAGACCATTAGACTTGAGGAATTCCTGGCTCCCATCCCATGGTCCATCCACTAGACCACACTGCCTCTCACTACAATAACAGTCCAAAGATACTATAGCTTACAACAGCATTACATCATGACTTTGTAATTATCTCTGGGAATGGATGGGTGGACCTTTGGTTCTTTCTAGCTGAATGTCCACCTTTATAAATGTAACTCTGCTGAAACATGCAGCTGATTATTGCCAGTGGGCTGGGTGTTCTGGGAGGGACATGAATAGTTGGAGGTTCATCACATTTGAGAGATTCTGCACTGCTGTTCAAACTGATGCCTGTAAGTTCTGGAGAACGTTTTGGTCACTAAGCAACACAGAACTTTAATCCAGATTGCTACTTATCCCAGGGTCCAGTGTCACAGCTGTATCAGGTCATCTGATCAGAATTCCCATTGAAATCAGAGGGGATCTACACTTCAAATCCGATGGCACAATATACCTTGGATGTGCAGTTGTCCCATGGGAATCACTTGCTCAGGGAGAATCAAGTGCCTCTTACCTTTATTTCTTCTCCATTTTGGCTGTGCTCCCCCTGTAGCTTCTCTCTCAGCTTCCCAAGCTCTGCCCTCAAAGTGCCCATCTCCTGTTCCTTGGTTTGCAGATATGCTTCCAATTCCACCTTCTGCTCAATCAGCGCTTTCCCTTGAGCCTCAACTACTGTGATTCTGTGCCGAAGGTCATGATTAATTTTCATTAGCCTGTTCTGTTGTTGTTGCAGCTGCCATAAAGTGACACAATAAGTATGCCTCCATTAAACCAGGGTAAATTAAATCACAAGTATTAAATTAAAGAACTAGCAATAGGTTCCTGTTGTATTTATCTTGAAAGATCTCCTTTATTTCACATTCATTTTTAACCATTTAATTAATCTGCTACAGTTGCAGTCTCCACAATTGGCTTTCAGAGTAAATGGAGTTTTTTTTCTCCTGCAGCACAGAACATTATCCTCCAGGCATATCCAGCTTTTCAAATGCTACATTTTTCTTTGGAATCTATTTCAGCAAAGCAAGGTTCAGGGACTGGGTGTCTCATGGGATACTGGATCAAGCTTTGACCTAGATTGGAAGCGGTCAAGGTTATTACTGTCTGATTAGTATCAATCTATGTACAAAGATACCAGGATTGTCACTCTGAAGCCTGTTGGGTCAGTGTGACGTGATGGAAATAGCTACAAGCATGGTATTAGCATGAGAGCTTGTTTTGTTTAGAATATCACCAGCTCCAGTCATTACTGGGTTTCACAGTCTCTCACTGTCCAGTTTTTAAGTTCTGAGCCATTTTTGGCTTTTTTACACTTTATGAATTACATCTGCATGACAGCACAAGCTTTCACCTAATTACTTGTACCGTGGTAGTGCTTAGAGGACCCCAACCAACATCAGAGCCACACTGTGCCAGGCGCTGTACATACACGTAGTTCGAGACAGTCCCTGCCCTGCAGCGCTTACCATCTCAATAGACAGGACAGCCATAGGATGGAATGGGGAACTGCGGCAAAGAGACATTCTGTGACTTACTCAAGGTCACAGTTTGTGGCACAGTCAGGAACTGAACGCAGGTATCCTGAGTCCAGTCCAGAGCCTGAGCACAAGCCCGTCCATCCTCTCCTTGATGACTTTCTGGTAGTGTATGTGAAATGATGTAGTGGTTTCATTCCCTGTTTCTAGGGAGCAGGTGTCTGCATCACAAATCACACCCCAGTGGGGCTTTCTTGTTGACAGGCTCAGCAGAGAAAAGCAAAGCTTAATGGGCCATGCAGCCCTCTCCTGTCCAGAGCTGATGCCTCCAAGGGCGAAGTTGGGCTATGTGAGCTGCGTGGAAAAGTTTGCATTGCCTAAGTGGAGATTTTCTAAAGGCTTTAGAGGAGTTAGGTGCCCAGTTCACACTGAAAGTCAATAGGAGTTGGGCACCCAATTCCCCTTTGGGCCTATGAAAAATCTGCTCCCCTGTCATTCTTGGTTTCCAGTCATGCCCACAATGTGCTAGGTTCTTTCCAGACACAGAAGAGGGTTTGGTGCCTGCCCTGAAGAGTTCACAGTCTTTTTACCTCTTCTATAGATACACAGAGACTTGACTCTTCAGGGATAATAATCTGGCCATCCTTCACAAGCACTAAATTAATTTAAAACTGGTCATAAACATCTGTGTGGTTCCTTCAAGGGGGAAAAGAGCAAGAAACACTTACTGCCTCCACATCCTCATTTTTAAGTCCCAGTTCCCGGTCCTTGGCTCTGATCTCATCCCTTTGTTTATCTACCACTTCCTTCAGCTTCTTCATCACTTGTCTCTCCCTCTCCGACATTCCTGGTTTAAAGAACACAAAAGAAAGAAAATAAACTGAGAATGGTCGTGACAATGGGGAGAAACATTTGGGAAAGGCACTGGACAGTCTGATTCAGCCAGCAAAGGGGGAGAGGTTGTTGGTTAAATACCTTGGATAAAGAAAGAAAGGTTATTTAGCCAATATACTGGATTCATGGATGATGGGAAAACAGGCTATACAGTTCACAGGGCGTACTACAACACTGAAAGTGATGAATATGCTTCTGATATATTTATAAGCAAATGTATGTAATACCATTACTGTGCTTCTATATGATATATCCAGTGGTGATATGTATGTACTGATCCCATGGATGAATGGCCTGTAATCTAGTTAGCACTCCCTAAAAGGTTTTCTATTTAATGAAGAAAAAAGTTCTCTCTGGAGTGGGAGATGGCATTTTGCATTGGCAAGATCTATTCCGATTTTATACGCATGCCACTATACTGGGGTCTGAACTAACATTCTGCATCTCCATTTCTAGTTTCCTAGATCCTGCAGTCCAAAGTCAGAGCAAATTTAACAGGAGTTTAACCTGAGTTAGGATCGTGCGATAATGTTTTTTCCATTCTAACTTCTTCTCTCATTCCATTGTAGTGATTCAGATTTAAAATAATTACACTTTACAAGGGGGGAAAAAAGATAGAATTCCCTTGTAAAGCCTGTTTGAAGTGTTGTCAAAAATCTCTCCATCAATACTGTTTAAAGATTAACAAGGGATTAAATTAACTTGTAGTTTGACCAACAATTCATTAGGATAATATCAGAATCACAAAACTGGAAACTCTTCCCCCATTAACCACCTGTATGGAGAGACGATAGAGCACCTAAGGACTGCAGTTGTGGGCAGTATAGCAACAAAGTGAACAGTAGCATATTGTCCTGCTAATGTAACCAAGTGTTTAAGATGGTGAGGTTATAAATTCATTACAATTGCTTCACAGCTAATCATCATCATTCTACAGAGACCTGCAGTTTGATATTCTTAACAGATCAAGTAAAATAATTTTTAATTGTATCTAATACAGATACATAATTCTGTGCCAGTGAACAGGTGCCTGGGGCTAATGGGCTATTAACAGGGACACTAGAGATGCCCTGGCCAAAGTGCAATTTAGTGGTTAAAGCAGGAATCTGGGACTCAGAATCCAGGGTTCTTTGCCTAGTCCTGCTACTGACTGGCTGTATGACCTTAAGCAAGGCACTTAACTGCTGTTCCTTAGCCTTCCCCTCTATTAACTACAGATTATAATAATTTACTTACCCCAATGGGGTAATTGTGAGGCCAAATTCAAAGCCCTTTTTAAACACACTATGGCAAGTCTCAGTTGAAATGTGCTGTGTAAGCAGATTTACCCACCTTGGGGTCGCAGTGTCTGTTCTTTGCTCTGTATCATGAGCTGACTCACTCCTTACTGGTTTTTCCTTTTATCACTTGGGGTGTGAGTAGACCCCAATCCCAGGTGACACAAACTCCCTCACCCCAAGTCAGAGTAGAACCCTTTTAAGAGCCCTGCCCTGAAGAGCACTGATGTTAACAGTGCACTGAGAGCAGGCAAGAGCAAGACAAACCTGAAAGAGACAAGTGGGTGGAAGAGAGTGAATAATTCCACTCCCCTGCTGGGAGCCTGCCTTTGACTGCCAGTTTTTCTACAGCTTGCAATTTGGAGCAGGTGCAGGTTCCTAATGAGGTGCAAAAGCACATGACTGCAAAGGGGGAGAATAGCAGTTCCCCTCTGCCACGGCAAAGGAAGTCAGGAAGCTACCTGAGCTATGCAAAAGTAGAAGAAAGGTAATCTCTACTAGAGCATTGGAGGGAGGAGTGGTAAATAGGAAAAGCTATTAAGTTGTTTTTGAGGGTGTGTTACTGTCAACATCTATAAAGCCTTTGGAGTGACTCAGATGTTCATGGTGAGCTTATTTGTCTTATATTTATTTTCTTTTATTTCTCAATAAACTGCTTAAACCTGCCAGCCCTACTTCTGGGGCCTGATTCTCACTCTCTCTCTCCAGTCTCTAGTGCTTTGCAGGAGAACAATGATTCTTATTCACTTCAGTGGGTGTTACTGGTATCCTGGGGGGAAGAGAAATGGGCTCCTGGGCTACCAAGTGGTTTCCTTTTCACTATGTCTGCACTCTCCTGTTGAAGCACACACCTGGGGAGCTAGGATGCTGTGATCCTATTCCCGGTGCTGCTACTGACTCTCTGTACGATCTTGGGCAAGTCATTACACCTCGGTGTTTCTGTTTCCCGATTTGTAAAACAGGAATAGTAATACAATGCACCCCTGCTAACTTTTACAAAGGAACAAGAGCCCCATTACAAATGAGTAAGTGAACAAGCCAGCATAGCTTCGCACTGTGTGCCTTTACACAGGTATCTTGTCAACAGTAGTTCCATTTTATGGATGATGCTTCATAGCCTGCTAGCAAATATCAGTAGGGTTCTGTGTGGGCACTGGGACTCACCCATGTGGAGCCAGTTGCAAGATCAGGGCCTAAAACACCTGCCTTTAAAAACTTTCCTTCAAAGTACAGAGGGACTAGCTGTTCTAAAAAGCAAGTTTCTCCCATACTTAATTCATGAGGAAAGTGTTTGAGATTCATAGCTAGCAGGTGCTATTTAAGGAGCAAAGTCTCATTCTAATGTTCAGTTAACTCCTTTCCCCCTCCTCTTTTGTTTTCCTCTTTAACTCTTGGTGAATATGGAAGATTTCAGATGTCTACACAGATCACTGGGCTTTTTTCCAGGACAAGGGTGGGTGGGGATGTTTTTGTTCCACAATCATTTTACTCCTCTACATTTTTCTTAAACATGCAACGAGTGCACTAAGTGTGAAATAATTAACCCTGAATGATTCAAAATCGTGTATCTGCAAGATGTTAAAATGGCACACCCAGCTGGTTTCCCTAAGCACATCCCATCAGCAATTTCCTTTGGATTGGTGTGGTTGATGTATTGTTCCATGGGATGGTAAGAAAGCAAGCAGTTTAAAAAAAATCTTGACTGTTTATGGTTAGGGATTCTGTCTACTGATGCATTTGTAGAGCAGGGCACAGGGCTCACAATATAAATACTTAATTTAAATATACTGCTTGCCCCTACATTTGCAAGAGGATTTTAATAGGAACTGTCTAGATCATGGTTAAGGGTTCTTGACTTATCCCGTTAGGAAAATGATGAATAAGGGCTTGATTCTACTGACTTCCTTGGGAGCAGGGTCAGGCCCTGTCTGAGTTTTCATCAAAGGGATTAAGGATCATGGAAATTTAAAGATGTAGGACAAGGCTTATGAGATCATTGAGGATGTCTCCATGCAAGTGCAGGCTACAGTCTCCAAGAAGGAGTTGTCTGATGTTACAATACGATGCTTGAAGTCAGATTAAAGATCCAAATATGGGGTAGGACAGGTTCCAGGATAAGCAGACGCAAAATCTCATCTCCTCCCTGGTGATTGTGGGTTCTGATCCTGTGAGCTGCGGGGCAGCCCACAACTCCCATTGCCTTACTAGACTGAGCTGAGGTTGCTCTGCACATTCTAGGATTTGGCCCTTAGGCCATATCTCTAGGCAGAAGAATTAACTTGACACAGTAATGCTTTCTTTAAGACTATAGATTGTCTCTTACCTGAAACTGGCCTCAGTAACTGGGAACCGAACCAAACCAAATCCCCACCCAAGTCTGATTTCAGGATCTGATGAGAAGTGGAGAGTAACTGAGTGTCTTTAGAACACATACTTGAGAGGTTTTTGTGATTCTTGTTTGTTGAGATCTCCTGCTTATTGTACCCATCACAACGCTGATCCTACCTGAGATGGCAGGATGTGTGACCTCCTGTCATGGCATCTGTGCTGCTCTATAAGCTGAGCAGTATATCTGTATGCCCTCTCTGACGTGCCTTGGGCCAGATCCAAGGTCTGACCTTGATCCTGCTGTATTTACTTAGAATTCTGTTTTCTGCCACACAATTTTCATATTAACCTTGCTCTGCTTCTTGAAGGCCTCTGCTCAAACTCCCAAAGACCAGGGGCTCACGCTTACTGCTGTTCTGTCCTGCATACCTTAAGGATGAGTTGCTATAGGCCATTCTTCAAGATAAAAGAGCTGCCTTATGGAACAAGGCCACTAGAAGTATTTCACTAGGTTTCCCTTTAATTGTTTGAGCACTCACAGTGTGTTTATTCAAAGTACAGAAGTCCTTGCTCCAAAGGACCCCAGTCTATATAGATGCAGAGTACTGGCTAAACATTATTATACATATATGATACATAGGTTCACATGTCTACCTTTCTGTTGCTGCTGAATATTTCCTTTAAATACACTCAGTATGTGGGGTGGGTTATTATTAATACTGCATTTGTCATAGATTCTGTGATTTTCCTATAATAGTCATGATGCTGAGACAATGGGAGTTCTACAGGTGCTGTGACAGTTGACGACAACTTGAACCAATTTCCCTGAGAAACTTGAAAGCTGCCTGTATAAAACCTGAGCTGTGTGGGAGACTGAGATGCATCAGGAATGCTCAGGATTAGGGCTCGTCGTTTCTCATGTGGTCCCAGGGGTGGGGAATCAAATTCTGTGATTTCTCTGGGTTTGGAGGGTAGCAGAGCTCAGACAGCTGGGTTGAGACCCACTGCAGTTCCTGCTGCCTTTGCTGAGAGAGGGAGTTTGAGCCTCTTCACACTGAAGTCCCTGGCAAAAATCCCATTGACTTCCATGGTGCAGAATCCGGCTCAGAAATAGGAAAGCAGCATTGGAGAAGGGATGGCAGCCTTTCTCTCCTGCCTGTCACCCTTCACAGCTGCTGCAGAGATGAACCCTGCTTGTCAGGAGAGGGGTTCAGGACTACTATAAAGTGGCTTTAAGCCATTGTTATTGCAAAGGAAATGCAGATTTTGATGACGGTACTGCGAGCTGTCACTCTTGCCAATTTTGTTTACTATAAATATGTGATTTTAACCCTTTTAGTCTCTCCTTCCATGAGTGACTGTGACTTCAAATAACCATTATTGATATTCATGTGGCACCTATGAGATCTGCTCATGGGCCAGGACACCCACGTGCTACAGGTCGTGCAATCACCAAGCAAAGAGCCAGTTCCTGCCGCAAAGAGCTTACCATTTAGATATATGACAAGAGAAGACAGATACAGCCAGAAGAGTGCAAGGAAACAGTGACACAGTAGATTTATGTTTTCAGGAGGGATATGAATGCAGTGGGGGTGCAGGAGTTCCAAGTGTAGTAAACCGAGGCTACGTACATTCAGATACCACAGTCATTGCCAGGGATTGAACCTGAGCTCTTAACACCAAAGCCACAGGCCTCTGCTGCTTGAGAGGACTTCTGTAGTTATCTGCTGATTCAGCAGCAGACTGTTAGTCCCTGAGACCAGCCACTAGGAGACATGATCACACCTACTAAATCATGCTAGGGTGTAAAGATTAGAACCTGATTACAGCTACATGAACTGAGCTTTGGGACTTGGAAAGCTGCATCCAGCAACTCACTGTGTGTCTGGTTATTTTTTTTCTACTCTGTCAATCAGTTGCCCTTAAAATCAAGCGTCTGTTTCAGTGTTTCCTACCAGAACAAATTAAAACTTTAACATGATGTGCAGTCCAATCCTGGTCCCATTTGTTAACAAGCAAAATTCTCTAGTGGGAATAGGCATCAATAACTCCCATGTCAGACATAAGGGATTCCCAGTTAGGATCATTGTTAATCTATATCAGTTTGAGTCAAATTCTGCTCTCACTGAAATAAATGAGATGTTGGCACTTAGAGTATTTGTGTTCTCATACAGTTTTTTCTGTCTCTACCACACAAAGTAAAAATAACCTTGAAAAGCATGTCTGGCACCTGCTTGGCTATCTAAATTCAAGAGTTATTACTGTATTTAAATACAAGCATATAAACTGCACTGAGCTGGGTCACCCATTGACATGGTTTTTTCCAATTTTTTTATAGTCTATGACTCCTCTTTCTTTATTTCATATTCTGACATTTTTCATGGAATCAATAGTCCATTAAATTCTAAGGAAATTGCAAAAATTAGATCAAATACAGCCTGTTAAATTGGAAGAGCTGCATTTATTTTAAAGAAACAGTGATCTTGAGAGGGTAAGATATCCTTTTTTGTAATATGCCATTAACACTCTTCTGCAGATCAAGTACAATGGTACTCAAGTCTAAGGGCTGAATTCAATGCTGGTGAAGCAGGTGCATTGGGGAGGCAAAGGGTTAAATGCCATTAGCCACTAGTAAGTGCCTGGCCTTTACAAGGTCTCAAGATGAAGAACTGTTACTTTTAAAAAATATTTTTAAATGAGCAGAATGTTTACTCTGATCTTTGATCTGAGCAGTTGTACTAACAGGCTATGATCCTGCAGGTGGATGTCTGTGCCTGTGGAGAGACCCAGTGAAGTCAGCATGGCTCCAGATGGGCACCAGAATCTGTCCACACAGAACCAATTGCAGTATTGGATTGTGGTTCAGGACCGTGATCAGCTAATCCGATTTCTGCCCATTTAATACTGTGAGAGACAAAACCTCCCAACTAGCCTTAGAACTCGAGAACTGAGATGAAGCAAGTGCTTAAAGTTATGACTCTCTCTCCTTGGTGCTTACGGACTGTCCTGATTATAAATTTAGCCTCACTCCCAAAATAAAACTCATTATGAGGCCTGAATTAGTGTTTAATTCCTTCCTGTAACCACTTCCCCCTCTTTGTGCATTTTATTGAGATGGTTTCTGAAATTCTGGCAAGACATCTGAGACCACATGGTGATTTTTCAAAATATGAATTCCCCCACCCCTGAACGCTGCATGTTGTGGATTAATTGGTATGCTGATAATTCAGCAGAAGGGAGCCTGAATAATTGTTTTACAATCAATTATGATGAATTAAATGCCCAAGTGTGAATGCTGATTTGTATATTTCCACACTATCATACGCATACAATTATTAAGTGGTTAGATCTATCTATATTTAAAAAAACCTCATTAAAGGAAATTCTTAACAAGTTGCTATCCTCAAAAAATGTTATGTTAAACCAAAACTAGGTTTTGCTTTTTTAAATTGTTTCTCATCCATACAAGTGAATAACTCTGTTCCAGTCTTTTTTTTTGTTTCCAGAATTTATTCGCAGCTTTTGTATCCCGATAAAACAGACCTGCAACAATCTACAGGAACAAGCTGAAATGTACAATCAAGACACTTTGATCAGGGATGACTTTAAAAAAAAAATACTATCACTGAATTTCAAATGTTAAACTTGCCTTCGTGTTTCTGAAATTCCTCTTCTGTGAAATTGATGTCTTTGTGCGACAGGTTTGTCATCAGCTGTTTGTTCTCTTCCTGAAGCTGAGCAATTTGGGTAAGAAGATCCTGTGCTTCCCCTCTCCATACATCCTCCACCAGTTCTAATTCCTAAAGTAAAGCCAGATCATGACAGAACATTAATGCTGTAATATATACAATCAATCGCCTTTGACCAAAACTATTTGCAGAATACACTAGCAATTGTCCTCTAAAGCTATCCTTTTATAATAATACTCTGAACTTCTAGCCAAGGACCTCAATGATTACTCCCCTTTCACAGACAGCCATATAATCTCTGTATGCCTCAGTTGCCTTTCTCAAGGTCACAACAGCAGTCCATATAAGAGGCACGAATTGAGGCCAGATCCCCTGAGTTCTAGGCAGCAGACTCAAAGTGTAGTATAAACACACTGTTCTCAACACTTGTGAGGTCAGTCAGTGGCAGAGTTGGACATGTTATTTTTTTTTAAAAGATCACAATGTTCCATAACAGTACAGTTTAGATTAGTGATGGTGCCATGTATGATACTGTAGAATATAGAGGGGGTTTTTTCATGTTGGAACCCAGAGCTCCTGTTACCCAGACTTCTGTTTTAACCATTAGCTTATGCTTCCTTTTTCTTATTCTAATATACTGTAATCACATTTTGCAGTGTTAACTATACAGAGAACAGCAAAACTATTCAAAATAGCAACTACCTTTATTCAGGCCACTTTGTGTCAAGAGCAGCTGTTACCAATTCCAGGAAAGGTCAAATTAGGATACTAAGTATAAAGACCTCCTGGAATAGTGGAGACCGTATTTATATCTATATTTTGAAAGCTTCATCACAAATATCAGTATTTCTCACTGTGGGCAATCTGTGCTCCATTTTAATGTATGTGCTGTGATTAACAAGAAAGCCATGCTCAGAACATGGAATCCTAGGCTGAGCTACGTGCTGATTTTTCCACATGTAATTCTCCAGGAGCGTGTTGTAACTATATGAAACTTCAAAATCAAAGCACAGCTCTAACACAGGGCTAGAGTTAACTTTGCTGAAAATAATACAAAATAGATAGGCTTGGCAGAATTAATTTTATTTTAAATAATTTTGATGGATAATATCAATTTTTAAGCAATTATTTTAAATGTTTATAAATTGTTTGCAGTTGTGCTAAACTATGGGTTTAAAAAAAATGCTTAAGTTTTAAATTTTCAAAGTTGTGGGAAATTATGGGGGGCTCCTAAGGGAGAGTTCAGACAATAATTATTTAATAACAGTAGACTTTGAGATTCAAAAAGTTTAGTTTTATAACTGTTAAAATACAAATTGTCAACAGCACATGTCAAAATATGCAAAGTAAATATCCTTAAATCAAACTCTACGAAGTTCTCAACAAACATTTTCCTTACTTTGCTTGTCTATAAGTTTTGATTATTATTGACGGAAATATTTTTTGTCAGTGTGTGAGTGCAGTGAAATCAATGTTTATCAATAACAATCAAATCCTTCCACCCCTAATGCTAGATCTAAATAAAAACTCTTTCTTACAAAATTAGAAGACTATGTTGGCACAAGAACACCTGGGTATAAACTGGCCGTGAATACATTTAGACTGGAAATTAGAAGAAGGTTTCTAAGCATAAGAAGAATGAGGTTCTAAAAGAGCCTTCCACTGGAAGTTCTGGGGACAAACAACCTAAATCATTTTAAGGAGAAACTTGATAAACTTCTGATGGGATTTTATGATGGGGATGCCAGAGACAGCAGGGGATTGGATCTGATGACCCAGGAGGTCCCTCCTAGTCCTATGTCCCTATGAAACCACACTACCATCCATTTTCAAGCCCAATAACACAGTCATTTTAGTCCAAAATTTAGCCTCATGTAGTTGTTACTTATAGTTTCCAAGAGCCTGCTTGGTGCTTTACAGACTAGACGGAGATGGAAGGATCGCTGTTGGGGGGCTGAACTATTGGAGGAGCACAGGGGAATGACAAACTGATCCCCATGTTACGGATATTAAGGTGTATTACCATTCTCTCTACTCTGAAATATTTATATCTATGGGAAAAACTTACATCTGTGCTTAAACTTTTTGCCAGATCCCACATATTGTAGCCCCTAGAATGACATGTGATGTGATCATCACATGTCAAGGGAAACTTTAAAAACATGCACTGACTTTTAGGAGTGTCCACACTGAGTATCAACTAATATTAAAGTTTCTGGTGTTGCTACCCACTATAGCATTCTCTTTTAATAGTGAAAAAGTGATTTTCACCTACTCACTGTTTGATGGCCTCTATAAAATAAGTTGGTGGGTCTCAGGTCATAGTAGTTTTTACCAGACAGGTGCTCAGTTCACAAAAATGCCATGAGAGTTAGGTGTCAAGGGATAAAGTTCCAGTCTAGCAGAGGGACCAAGGATTGAAGAGGGCTGGAGAATGAGTTACCTGCTCATTCAGAAATAGTTCTCTAGATCGGAGGGTCTTAGAAGGGCAAGGAAAGGGGAGTGGGAAGAAAATCTGCTCCGGCCCGTTTTGTTTCTGTTATGTGGATCAAAAGAGACAAGATCACTCTCTACGGATTTACCAGTACTTTTTTCCTCCTTCACTTCTAAAGGCACTATTGCACACAATTCCTATCTGTACAATGTTAGGTGAGAAGTCTCTAGGCCAGCACTGGGCTTTTTAATATATTTAGCTAAATTTCTACCTGATATCTTTGCAGGGTTTGGGGAAGTTTTGTATTTAACTATATCTTGAGTTTGTAGGGTTAGCTTTGAGAAATTCTATAAATATCTTTATTTTGTATCTGTGTCAGCAACTAGCAATAGTACAAGAAGACACCAGTGATGACACAGGAGTGAGTTTGCTAAAAGAAGCAATTTTTATCCAAATCACAGTTATTTGGATAGTTTTCTAAATAAACCCAATCACTTCTAATACAATAATCAAAGCCGCTCATGCTGTCCTGCTGCCACATTAGGGTAACAGGGTTTGAGAAAAGATGTCTGTCTCTGGCATCCAGGTGAGCAGGAGTGGGAGCACTATGTTGGTAGCAGCTTAGTCCAAATATTGCATTGCTCCTCAGAGAGGCCATATCAGTTTCAGATTTGGGAGAGGTGGATATAGGTCCACCCAATATTAAAGGCCCGTGCCCTCAGCTAAGACCGAGGCTACAAGTGAGTGTGTGGGACAATGAAGGAAAAACAGGGATGGAAGTGAGGTCAACGGTTGAAAATCAGGGAACCAGAAGAGGAACTGAACAGAGGAGCCCAGACAGCGCCCACCGCTCCTCACAGGTGTCTAAGGGTATGTCTACTCTGCAATTAAAAACCTGTGGCTGGCCCGTGCCAGCTGACTCGGGGTCGCCAGGCTCAGGCTAAGGGGCTGTTTAATTGCAGCGTCGAGGTTCCGGCTCGGGCTGGAGCCTGGGCTCTAGAACCCTGCAAGGTGGGAGGATCCAAGCTCCCGCTAGACTGTCTACACTGCAACTAAACAGCCCCTCAGCCCAAGCCCCGTGAGCTCCAGTCAGCCGGGGCACAGGCCAGCTGCAGGGGTCTAATTGCAGTGTAGCCACACCCTGAGGAGTCATTGGACACGGCGGAGAGGGAACAGAAATAGGCCCCACAGTCACCCCCTGTCCAGTTTCCTCCTCCTGGACTGAGAGATGGGCGTCGTGGCCAGCCCCAGAGGACTGAGCAGGAGTCTGGGAGCCAGACCCTCGGAAGTTTGCTCGGGTCTGGCTCTGGCTTTCAACCTCTGGGTCTTTCCCTGTCCGGCAGAGGAGGAGGCTATTTACCCGCCCCCCTCCCCAGGGCATTGTCCTCAGTGTTCCGGACAGAGCTCCGCTGCTCTGCTCCCGGGCGGGCCGAGCCGGGCTAAGCCGGAGGAAAGGGGATATGGGCGGGGGAATCTCCCCGGAGAAAAGTCCCTCCGTGAAGCGGTTTGTATCTGGCACACCCCCGCTCCCTGTCACTCGGAGCCGGGCCCCTTCCCACCTCCATCCTCATTTCCTCCGGCTCCCCGGGCGGGGGCCTGCAACGCCTCGGACCCATCCCCCGGGCCCGGCGGCTCCTCTCGCTCTTTGTGTTCGAATCCGCCGAGGGGAGAAAGTCTGGCGGGGCCAGAGCCGGGGGGACCGCGGCGGGAAGTCCCAGCCTCGGGCGGGGCAGGATTGAGGGGGCGGCACCCCGCCCCCCCGGGCCGGGCGGTGGGTCCCTCCAGGAGTTTGCAGAGGAGTCCTAGCACTGCCCTTCCCACGGCAAAGCGGGCGGGACAAGTTGAGCATTGCGCCCCCCTTCTGTTATGAATGCACAAGAGCCCCCCCCCCCCCCGTCTCCTTTCTTCCCTAAATCCCCCCCCCCTCAAATCCCCCACCTTCTGGTGCTTCTTCTCCTTCTCGATCCGGTCCATCCTCTCCAGCCGGAGCCGATCCAGCTCCAGCCGCAGCTCCTCCATTTCGGGGTTGATGTGATTGCGGCTCACCAGCACCTCCAGGATCTCCAGCACCCGCACCACCTTGGGCATGAGGCGGGCGATGGCCTCGCAGCCGTGCTGGTCAATGACCCGCTCGAACTCCTGCCCCACCAGCGAGGCGATGTCGTACACGTCCATGACCGTCAGCTCCGCCACGTTCTTCTCCAGGGCCGAGGAGGAGACCCCCCCACCCCCGTCCATGGCTCGCCGGTTCCTGCGGCGCCCGGGAGTCCCTCATAGACCGCAGCCGCCACCCCCCCAACGCCGGAGCCGCCCGCCCTTCCCAAGCAGCAACTCGCCAACTTCGGCCCGGGGCTGCGCTGTTAAACGGGGCTGCTGCAGGCTGCGCGCCGGTGTAACGACACGAATCGGAACAGCTGAAGGCAGCCGAGAGCGAGAGAGCTCCCCCACCAATCCCACCTCCCTGCCTGCCTCCTCCTCTCCGCCCTGCTCGGTGCCAATAACACGAGCCTGTCACCAGGCGAGGAGGAGGACACCACGCATGCCTGCTGCCTGCCAAGTTGGGATAGCAGGAGTTGGGGATGGGAAACGAGATTTTGGGAGCACGTGATGCACCAGATTGCTTTTTATTTATTTATTTATTTATTTGCACTAGGAAATACTTCCTGCGTGTCTGAGGCACGCCAGTGTCTTCCTGCTGGTCGGTCTTGTGTTTACACCTCTCCACGCCAGCCTCTCCAAACACAGCAGCCTCACTGGAAATCAGTGTGGCGCATCAAACAGCATGTCTGTGTAAAGTGTAAGTCTGGATCCGGGGGAGAGGGGGGGAAAAGCTGGAGAAATGTGATGTCAACAGTAAAAGTTCACTTAAAACTGTTAGCTTAAAACTGACATCTCTCCGCTATTATTTCTCCTGGATAAATATTGTATAGATTTACATATTCTTTATTTAATGTTCCCCTCGCCTCAACAGTTGTACAACCTCAGCAGGTCTGATTTAATCTGAATTACAAGGTTTGTCTGTTGCCACCATTGTTCGCTGTACAGCAAAAAAAGAAAATTGCTACATCAAGATACAGTATGTAATACAGTTTTATTATGCTGATATAACAAATAATTATTTAGTATTAAATTATAGTGTGATCGCATGTTACATGGGATACAGAAACAACAAGGAGATTTTTAAATCTGCGTTGAATTAAAAAGATTTAAATATTTTATTAATCATATCTAGCTCATACATTTTCTCATAAGTGGATCTCAAAGCACCTTAAAAAGGAGGCAGAAAAAGTTTTGAGAATTCTTTCTTAAGTGAACAGAAAATTTTTAAACATGAATTTTAAAAGTGTTTCGCAGTGGGAACAGAGGGCCTGATCCTACAAACAAGTTACTACCATCATTAGAAGTCACTTTGTAGTTAGTGGCATTACCTAGGATAGAAAACATTTGAGCCCCATCCTGTAAACATGGAAGTCAGTGTGTCTGCTCAGGTGTACAGGGTCCACTAGCACAGATCCAGTTGCAGGTTTTGAACCCTAATATTGGAGTAAATTGATTTTGCTGGCTTAATTGATCATTGTTTTTACCTTTGGGCCTGATCCTCCAAACACTACCAGGCATAATGTTCTAAGAAGTCTCATTGACATTGGTAGTAACTGTCTGTAGAATTGGACTCTGCTCTGGAATTTTGATTTAATGTAAATATTTTTATATATACTAAACTATGTATATGTATTAATTGCAGTTTAATACTTTTTGTACTTATGCTGATAAATGTATATTATTTATATGGAACACAAAAGTGTATTAGATACTTTGCAGATAAATAAAACATCCCATTCTCTGCCCTGAAGTGATTAGTTTAGACCCTTATCCTGCAATCCAATAAATGCATTGCAAGATCAGGGCCCTAATTTTAGACAATGAATGACAGCAACAAACAATGGGATTGGAATAAGGGGGAAAGTTACAATAAATAAATTAATAAAGATGTGACTTACTGATAATATCTTATATACTGTGATTTTGGACCTGCTCCTGCATTTCTTTCATACACACAAAATGTCCATTGATGTGAGTGGGAGCTTTGAATGCACAGAAGCATTGCAACATTGGGCTGTGTATGCAGCGAAACTGATTCACTTCAGCTGTCAGTATCATATTACATTCCATCATAAGTGGTAAAATTACTAACTTCCCCATATTGGCCAGGAGCAGGAGGCATTCATGTTCATTGAATTGTGTGGCTCTATGGGCAAAGAAAACAGTCCAAATGTATTTGGGTTGAACACTCTACTTCCCTGCTTAGCATTAGTCACAAAGCATCCAGGTTATCCAGTAAAAATTTACTTTTATACTTTTTGTTAACGAACTTTTTAGGGGCAAAAATGCTCCAGTGTAGAAGAGAGAAGGGATGAGAGTGAATAACAGCAAAGTCATCACTTCATGGAAAACATGGCTTAAGGGGGCATGAAAAGCTATGGGGGTATCATGAGAATACATGAAAGGCCACACCAGGGCACCTCAGAGGAGCAAATGTGCTGTGAACTGAATATCTTGTCTGGATTAAATAAAGATGAAAACAGAATCCACGTGACCACAGAGTCAATCATGAAAAATTGCCCAGCCTTACATACGAATGTGGAGGGGGAAAAAATAATAATAAACTGGATAGGATAGCAAAAACCAAGCCTAGATACAGCTGTAGGGAGATAGCTGTAAAGGGAAGTATGGTAGAACATCACTAATTCACCCTAATGATTGGACGAGACCGTGTAAATTAGAGTCTGGACAAAGTCCATTGAAGCCAATGGGAGTTTTTTTATTGACTTCAATGGACTTTTGATCAGGCCCTTAGGGGAAAGGGGCCTGATCCTGTGAAGAGCTGGGTGTTCCCTTTCACTGGAAGTTGAAGGTGTCTGGCATACTGCAGGATTGGACCCTTAGGTGCATAAACATTGGCTGGATCAGACCATCAGTGAACAAACTAAAAAAATCAAGGCTTATCTCATCACAAAATGCATTATGTGACTTCATTTTAATTATTTGATACCTCATAAGTAGGATTGCCAACTTTGTAATGGCACAAAACCAAATACCCCTGCCCCGCCCCTTTGAGGCCCCACCCCCTGCTCGCTCCATCACCCCTCCCTCCACCACTTGCTCTGCCCCACCCTCACTCACTTTCACCGGGCTGGGGCAGGGGGTTGGGGTGCGTGGGGGGTGAGGACTCCAGCTGGGAGTTCAGGCTCTGGGTTAGGGCCAGGGATGAGGGGTTTGGGGTGCACGAGGGGGCTCCGGGCAGGTATTGGGGGGGGGGTATGGACTCTGGAAGGGAGTTTGGGTGCTGGAGGGGACTTCAGGCTGGGGCAGGGGGTTGGGGTGTGAGAGGGAGTTTAGGATGCAGGGCCCCGGTGGCACTTACCGCAGCTCCCAAGAAGCGACTGCCAAGTCCCTGCAGTCCCTAGGCTCATGGGTGGCCAGAGAGGCTCCATGCACTGCCCTTGCGCCCGCAGGTGCTGCCCTCACAGCTCCCATTGGTTGCGGTTCCCGGCCAATGGGAGCTGTGGAGCTGACACTAGGAGCAGGGGCAGTGCGTGGAGCCTCCCTGGCTGCCCATGTGCCTAGGGGCCACCAGGACCTGGCGGCTGATTCCGGGAGCTGCGTGGAGCTAGGGCAGGCAGGGAGCCTCCCTCCTGCTGCTGACTGGAGCCACCAGGGTCCCTTTTCAACTGGCCGTTCTTGTTGAAAACTGGATGCCTGGCAACCTTACTCATAAGCATACTTGTAAAGATAGTATAGTATTTTTTGTTACAAATTCTTAGTGATATGAGATCTTACTACAGGGATGCCTCTGCTATTAAACCTTTACTGAAAAGTGGGAAGAAAATGTTATTTTGTGACTTATAAAATGTGTGGATTAACTGTTTTGGTTTCTTGCTCTTGACTAATTCAAATTAACTATCAGTTTCAATTCATTTTGGAGCCTTCATTTTAGGAACTCTGCTTTTAATTAGAAAAGCTATTTCAGTTCTTACTATAAAAGCATGTAAAATATGATTGAAAACACTGTACACCTCCCCTGCTATTCTGCTAATAAGCGAAAGATCTCTAAATGTTCGGCTCCATTTATTCTGTCCATTATGAAGCATCATCCATACATTGTGTTTTGGGACTCACAATAAGCAACCTGAACGTTTAATCAAAATGTCCCATACTGCCAGTATCACACTGTTTTAGTAAGACAAGCACTGCTAACAGTTGTTTTGTTTTGCGAAAATATTTTATTTATTGATATTTTGAATAATTAACAATGAGAAATTACAATTACATTGTCTTGACACAGATAGACCCAAATCTTAATACAAAATTAACATTTTAAGCAACATTGTATATTGACCATATCATGCTATACCATTATTTTCCTCCTGTCCCCCCCAAACCTACTTAAAGACAACCTTAGCATGGTTCATATGTATATGTGTAATCATTCCAATTACTTTTTGTTGTTGTTGGGGGGGAGCTGAATTTCTTTTGGGGGAGGGGGGCAAGTCTCAAGAAAATACAAAGGAAAGCTAATGGAGGAAAGGGGAGGAGATGTAATTCAGTTATCCTCTGCATATATTCTTCTTGACTATCCTCAGAATACTGTCTCTCTGTCAAAGCATATCAATGATTTAATTATTTCTATTGTTTTCCTGTGCAAGGCATACTACTACTTTTATCTGGTTTTTTTTGAGAATTTGTCTGGGACTGTTCTCACATAATTTAAGCCTTCCTTTATAAGATAGTCTGTTAATAGTTTTTCCAGTGATCTAAAGTGGCAATCGTTGCCTGTGTCCACAAATTTAAGATTTTTTTTTTTGCTATAAAGAGCAAGAATAGGAGTAATTTCCTTATTCCTTGTTTGAATCATTTAAATAGTCCAGTTCCCAAAATACGTCTTTAAATCCTGTTCAAGTTCTATCTCTTTGTTTTTATTTCTTTCAAGATGGTTTTCTAATTTTATTTTTTACTATCCAACACCTGCATATCATGTGTGTGAAAGTGAGTCTGGCTGTTTTGCATTTCATTCAAATATCTGGGGCAATATTATGTATTTTATTATATAGAGATGGAGAAATATACATTGTGTAAACTAAAAAGTACTGAATTTGCACTACTTGGTTAGTATTAGAGCCAATATTTATCATCTGCATTATCTCATTCTATTATTTTACTGTTGTTTAAATTTAGTCTGCACTCCATGACAATAGCTTTATGTGATTTGTTATTTAAAACATAGTCATGAGATTATACATTCTAGACGTAATCT